CCCATCCCCATCCCCATCCCCATCCCCATTCCCATTCCCATTCCCATTCCCATTCCCATCCCATTCCCATTCCCATTCCCATTCCCATCCCCATTCCCATTCCCATCCCCACACCAGTGCCCATCCCACCCATCGGCTCCAACTCGCCTTAATTTCACTCGGCAAGAAATATTTATCCCGAGCCAAAAAGCAAACCCCCCCCCAAATTACAAGTTGTCAACGCTCCCATCCGCGTGGGGGAGGAACACGGAATCATTCCCGGATAATCCGAGTGTTTCCATGACATCCGTGGGCACCGCGCCAGCGCTGCCGGCAGCCGGCGGGAGATCGACTTCATTTTGATTTTCATTTGGATTTTATTATTATTATTATTTGAGGATTTTCACCTTCCCACCCAACCCTGAGCTGCTTTTCCCTCTTTGAGGGTGGGAACAAATCCCAAAATTCCCTCCTCGGAGTGGGAACAAATCCCGAAATTCAGGGAAGAGCTCCGCGGGATAAAACCGCGTCTCGCCTGAAATTTGGGATTTGGGAACCTGGAGATTTTTTTCCCCCCCCCCGTTCCCATCACCATCATCATCCACATTTGGGGGATTTGATTGGGTTTGATGACTCCCCCGCCAAAAAAAATAAATGAAATAAAAATAGAAATATCCCGCGGATGCTGCGGGATTTTCCAGCTCGGCTCGAGGTGCCGGGCACGGCGCAGACAAAGGAGCTCTTGTTTCCCTGGCATGGCACACGCCTTGTCTCGCCCAAAAAATGCACAAAAAATGCCCAAAAATGGTCCAAAAAATGCACAAAAAACGCGCAAAAAAGGTCAAAAAAATGCCCAAAAAACGCGCAAAAAATGCCCAAAAAACACGCAAAAAATGCACAAAAAACACACAAATAACACGCAAAAAATGTGCAAAAAAAGTCCAAAAAATGCGCAAAAAATGCACAAAAAATGCGCAAAAAACACGCAAAAAACGCGCAAAAAATGCGCAAAAAAGGTCCAAAAAATGCGCAAAAAATGCGCAAAAAATGCCCAAAAATGGTCCAAAAAATGCACAAAAAAACGCGCAAAAAAGGTCAAAAAAATGCCCAAAAAACACACAAATAACGTGCAAAAAACGCGCAAAAAATGCCCAAAACACACCCAAAAAACACCCAAAAAAGGTCCAAAAAATGCGCAAAAAAGCGCAAAAAACGCACAAAAAATGCCCAAAAAACACACAAAAAATGCCCAAAAAACATCCAAAAAAAGCGCAAAAAACGCACAAAAAACACGCAAAAAATGCCCAAAAACCACGCAAATAATGCGCAAATAACGCGCAAAAAAAGTCCAAAAAATGCACAAAAAACGCCCAAAACACGTGTAAAAAAAAGCCCAAAAAACGCGCAAAAAACGCCCAAAAAACACCCAAAAAACGCGCAAAAAATGTGCAAAAACCACGCAAAAACGCCCAAAAAACTCCCAAAAAACGCCCAAAAAATGGCGCAAAAAATGCCCAAAAAACGCTCAAAAAACGCCCAAAAAAACATGCAAAAAAAGCCCAATAACCACCCAAAAATCGCCCAAAAAATGGCGCAAAAAATGCCCAAAAATGCGCAAAAAATGCGCAAAAAACACCCAAAAAATGCCCAAAAAACACCCAAAAACCGCCCAAAAAACTGCGCTCCCCCTTCTAAGAACAAATTCCGTGACAAAATAAATGACCCCAAATACAAAAAAAAAAAAACCAAATTCAAGAATTCCCAAATCCCGCCGGGAACGCGGATTTGGGATCGACTTCCGAGCGTGGCAAGGGGCCAAAATTCCATATTCCAATATCCATATTATATCCCTAAATTGATCTAAAATATCCATATTATATCCCTAAATTGATCTATAATATCCATATTATATCCCTAAATTGATCTATTATATCCATATTATATCCCTAAAT